TTGGGCATTATGGTTTGAAATACAGTTACTGAGAGGCCATTATCTTTGGTCCTTTTTAAAAAAATTTTTTTTTTATTGGTGAAACACTATGAGGTACAGTTATAGACTTACGAATTTTTGTGCTTGGGTTTCAGTTATACAATGATCAAGTACCCATCCCTCCACCACATCTACACAATGGAGTACTATGTAGCTGTTAGAAAAGAGGAAGTAATGAAGTTTACATACAAGTGGTACTACATGGAAAGTACCATGCTAAGCGAAATGAGTCAGAAAGAGCGGGATAGACACAGAAAGATTGCATTCATCTGGGGGACATAAAGCAACAAAAAGGGAGACTAACACCAGGAATGGCCGAGATTAGCATGTTTGGTCCTTCACCCGCCTGCAGCACCAGCTCCCATCAGGGCCATCCCCTCCAACCATCACTGGCTTACTGGTCCCTCCTCTGTCCCAGCTGCCCTCTCCCCCAGCCCAGGGCAGGCTGCGTACGACCCTCCTGCCTCCTCCTACCTCCAGCCATGGAGCGACCCTCCGACCTACCCCCCGGGCTGGCACTTGAGGGAGGAGCTTGGCTTTGCAACACCCCCAAAAACAACCATCTGAAAGCGAAATTGTCTTTTAGACCCTGGAGTTGGGGAGGGGGCGCACTGGTCCTCTGGCCAGGCACAGAAGGAGAAGAACCACCAGAGGTGCCCAGGAGCCTGCCGAGGGCCTGGAGGAATTTGCGTTATTCAACAGGAGGCTGCACCTTCCCGCCTTGGCCGAGAACCTTCGCCGCTGGGGGATGCTGGGAGCCGGCCACGTGGTTGGCCGTAGCCAATGGGGCTCAGCGAGCATGACGTCACGTGGGAACGCCCGGCTGCTGCGCCTGCGCAGTGGGGGTGGGGGTGCCTGGCGCCTTCCGCCGCTGTCCGGGCTGGGGGTGCTGATGCGACCCGGGTCGGGGCGAGGGTCCTGGCCTGCGAGCCAGAGGAGCCCCCGGGAGGACGCGGCGTGCCCAGACCATACCCGATGAGGCGAGCTCTGGGTCGCTGAGAGTCCGGGACGCTTCTCGGGGTGGCGATGGAGGACGGGGTGCAAAGGGGTTTTCTGAGCCGGGGCTGGTGCAGGGCCCAGACAGCGCTGAGGCGCCCCCCGAGCGAGGCGACCCCCAGGCCAGGGGGACAGGGCTGACGGCAGGCGCCCGGCACGTGCGGGCCTCGCCACGGGGCTTGGTCGATGGGGTGGATCGGGTGTTGGTGCCCGGGAGCCTCTCCCCGCAGCGCTCAGGGTCCAGCTGGGCTGGCCACGCCGCTGAGGCCGGTGGGCAGCTGGGGGGGGCGCTTTCAAGGTACGATGGGGCCTGAGAGGTGGGACGGGAGTGAAGGCACGCAGTTTGCACGTGGCGGCATCGGCGGAGACCCTGGCCGGAGTCACGTGGTCCTCGGACACGGCGGTGGGTCCCTCCTGAGCACAGAGCCGGGAGCAACCCCCGAGCGCCGCCAGGCTCCCCAAGCCGAAGGTGACAGTGAAGGGTCTCATGGGAAGGTGAGCGCGTCACGTCCACTGCGAAGGATCTGCAGAGCTGAAGGCGGCACAGAGAGGGCTGGCGCGCCCAGGCTCCGACTGGCAGCCCATTGGCAGGCTTCGGGTTGTGTGGGGCTGTGGGGGTGCGCAGTGACGCATTGGAGAGGAAGGGGAGACCCCAGCTATTTGCAGTCGCTCTGACCCTGGTTCAGAGGTGGGGCGGGGTCCCGGGATGTGGCTCCGACCGTCCGCCACTCCGGAGAAGAGGGGAAGAGGCCAAGGACGACTTCTCTTGGCCCACGTGGGTTCCTGGGGCCCAGGGCAGAGGCAGACGCACTTTGATGCCACACAGAGCAGACGCTGGCGGGTGGGGTGAGGGGTCCTTAGAGGGAGGTGGATTTGGGAGCAGCTGTTGTATGGAGTGACCCCAGAATCACCAGCAAGACTTGTTTTGTGTTGGTTTGGGGGCCCACCCAGCAGTGCTCAGGGGTTACTCCTGGCGGTGCCCCGGGACCATGCGGAGTGCGGGGGTTCAAACCCATGTCAGCACAGTACGAGGCAGCCACCCACCTGCTGGTTATGTCTGGCCCCAAGACTTGCTGGGATCTGCTCCCTCCGGAGCCTGGATTCCCTGTGGCCAAGATGCAGCTGAGAGTGGTTTCTCGTGATTTCCAGAAGGTGCTGTTGGGAGGGTGAAACTTTGCGAGCCCTGTGTCCTGTGCCCAGCGGGCTTCCTGCGGGCAGCCTGGGTCTGGGTGGCAGTGACCATGCATGACTGATCCCTGCATTTTCTTTGCTGTTTTGGAGTTCTGGAATCTGTTCGGGAATCGGGTACTGGATTACCGAGGGGATTCTTGGCAGTGTCGACCACATGAATTTATTGAAATTGATTTTTACCGAAACATCATGATTTACAAAGTTGTTTGTCATACAGTTGTTTCAAGCACTTAGTGTTCTAATACCAGCTGTGTGACCTTCCCTCCACTAATGT